AATGAGAATCAACACCAATCGTATTTATCTCAAGCACTTTCCATTTTCTCTCGATTACAACCGTGATGCCCTCTATGCATCAAAAACGCTGGTCATACATTTTTAGATTTGAAGTAAAACAAATCGCTCTATTGCCATAAGATATTAGAACGCTAATCAAACAACTGTCATGCATCTTTTTAATATCTTGTGAAATGTATGAACCCAAAAACGGAATTGTCAAACCGAGATGTTTCTTCAGTCAAATAAGTTTCTGACCTATTCAACTTGAGTTTTCATCGTTTTCATCATATTTAATTTTCTTTATAAAACCGTGCTTTTGATATCGTTATTTTCATCGTTTTTGTCGAATTTGTTTTTCTTTCGAAAACCGCGCTTTTGATACCATATTATCTGTAGTTAGGGCTTGAGTCGATAAAGCTAGATGCACCGCCTTCTTCAAAAGTATGCCCAGTTTCGATGATATTTATAGTCCAAATTTAACAAATTGAGAAAACAATGTGCAAACAAACAAACAAAGTTCTGAATGTTCCGATTACATTTTAAGGTCAATTAATAAATTTTTTGGTTAAAAATTGACGAAGTAATCGAAAACGAATAACTTTTTTTTATTTTATGTTTTATCTTCAATTTGTCTTCTTGACACTAAAAAACACTACAAAAAGATTTATTTAGCATCTAGCATCCTTATAACAAAACCAAACACGACTTGCACCAACTAAATTTGGAACGCAATAGTCTGCCGCTTACGCGTGTTATAAAAACGCAAATTATTGCGCGTTGAATGTCTCAAATTGACAAAATAAAGGTTGTTCGCAGCTCCATAATTTCCAAAAATATATCGCGGTTATTTTTTTTCTACATTTAATTCAGACATCAATATCTTTCAGATGTTAGAAAAAAAAAATGTTTCTACAAAGTCGAAAATTGACTGAACAAAAAAGTCGGAACTTAATGAAGAACATGATGGAAAAGAAGAGAGAGGAGAGGAATAAGAAAAAGAAGCATAAAAAGAACAAACTTGCTCGTATCAGTGCAAATTTTCCGACTGCGTTTCAATTTCTATAGAGTAATTTGAAATAAAATGGTTGATGAAAATTTCAAAATAAAGAAAAAAGGTCAAAAAAAAACTCATGAAGTTTTATGAAAATCATTCCCAATCACAATATGTGAACTACAAAGTGATATAATTTGCATGTACCAAAGTATTAAACAGACCAATGGCCATGCCTCAATCGAATTTGGAGCAACTTTTAATACACATTTAATCTCCGCTCACGTGTTATTAGCACGAAACACAGCGCGCGTTAATTGTCACAAATTGGCCAAATTGACAATCCTTAAACTCACATTATTTTAAAAAAATCAAGCAGAGTTGAAATATCTTTATAAACTTGAGCTCAGAGCAACAGTACCTTTCGAATGAAATTTAAAAATTCTTTCAAAAATTGCTAGCTATAAAATCAAAATTTGTCCGGAGAAAAAACCATCCCGAGAACAAATATTGCATTACTTTCTTCCAAAGTCAGAACAATAAGAATAAGAAGAAAGAAAAACAGAAGATACTCAATCAATTTGGTCTAGCTAAAAAAAACTTTGAAAAATGAACTCAAATAAACCGGGATCTTTAGAGCCAATTAGGCGTTTGAATGCAAACCAGGTGATACGATGCGAGCGACAGACTTGCCTATCCCGAGACATGAAGTTTTGTTTTACAAGCCTGCCAGCGCTAAAGCTGTCAAACCACTGCGAGAGAGTTTTTTCAAAAGGTAGATTTAAGTGCAGAGTTAATTTGATCACGTCTACACCATGCTATGTTCATTTCCTTTGCTTTCACCCTGCACACTTTTTTCTCCCGAGACGAAGTGTCCAATTTATGTTATAATTTTCTCGACAAGACTTTGGTATGCTTTGACCAAATTTTTCTCAACCGACTTTTCAAAAAATATATTTGATCGACCTCGCAGAGATATATTTCAATTTTTCTACCAAAAAAGTGTAAGTTTGACTGTCTCGACTTTCTCGACACAGAAAAAATTTATTCCCGAATTCAAAAAAAGTTTTATCTCAGATTTGTTGCAAGCGGCTTGACTAACTATGGGATATGTTATGATTATCTCAAATCTCTAAATTAAGAAAATATGAGCTCAAATTGTACTGCGTTTGACCTGAAAATCGAGTTTTTTTTAAACTAAAATAGGGTATGTTTTGACTGCACTCGACCTCTGTTTCAACTGTGTTCGAATTGTGTTTTGGCTGTGCTCGAACTATATTTCGACTGTTCTCGATTTAAATTTCTACTGTATGAACCTATCTTTTGACTGTGCTTGACCTATGTTTTGACTTTCTCCACCAAAAATGGGTATTTTCCAACTGTGCTTGTCCTATGTGTCGACTTTCTTGACTATCAAATAACATGAGTAAATCGACAAAAAATTTTGACGTATGTTTTCAGTTGATTTTTTTGTGGCGATGTTGGAACTGAAAACAGGAATAAAGATCAGTAAAACGCGAAACTCCTTAAATAGAGTCTTACACTTTGCTTTTAACAAATCTGGACCGACACTTGTGATCTGAAAGTTGATATTTGAAGAAATTTTGGTGTAATTTATTTTTTCTTGCCGCAGGATCCTCGAATTATTTTGCTGGTTGCAACTTTCTGACAATGTCCTTTCCGAGCAAATTCGTTTTGGTCTGTTTCTAAAGTAAAAATTAATTAAAACACAAAAAAAATAAAAGATTTTAAAAAATTAGGTTCCGTTTGACCTATTTTTCGACTGTGCTCGACCTGCATCGACTTTCTTGTCCAAAATTAGGTACGTTCAACCTCTGTTTCAAATTTTTCGACACAAAGTTGGGTGTGGTTCGACTGTGCTCGACCTATGTGTTGACTCTCTTGACCAAAAATCACTATGTTTTGACTTGTACTCGAATTAAAGTTCTCAGCCGTGGAGTTTCATTCAAAAAACTACATTTGCTCGATAATGACAAACTATAATATTTAGGCTGATAAAAAAAACTAATTTTAAATTTTAAAGTTTGAGTTTTGTATCAAACTAATGAGACCAAATAACTCAATTTGGAACGGTTTTGTGGTGCGGGATGATTCGCTACGCGTAAATAATGCGCTTTACCCTTCCAAAAATAATTTAAAAATGAAAAATTCAGTTAGACTCATTAGAAAGAAGCGGTGAAGTGAGGTTATTTTAAGGTAAGCGCGACCCTTCGGAGAACACGAAGGTCATGGGATTGATCCCCGAGAGAAACGTTTTTTTTTTAAATTGGTCTGAATTAATTCGAGCATACCTATTCCCTTTTTCTTTGTAAGTCGGAGCAACAAGATTGTTCTCATCAGGGCAAAGCCCTGAATGTTCCGACTGCCTTTTAAGGTCTTTGGTCTTTCGCGAAAAAAAATGATGAAAACTTTTACATCTTCAAACTTCAATCTTTCTTTTCAATCTTTGTTTGCCCTACGCATGTTATGTAAATTACAAAGCAATTTGTTTCGCCAACAGCAAAGTATCAGATAGAGTAAAAAGCAAGCTTCAATATCTTTAGTCGATATCTTAAAAACCACCCCAAGCATAAAAATTTCGCATTTATTCGAAAGTCGGAACAAAAAGAAGTATATATGCTCTAGATATACTTAATGGCAAAAAATTGTTAACTTCCAGGAAGTGGTCAGTTGAAATGGCTTTTTTCCAACTTGATTGGAAATCTGATCTCTATAACTAGAGGTTATTTCTACGGAACCATAAAATTCTCTATTAAATAAGTTTATATCTAGTTTTAATTTTAGTTTCAGTAGTGGTGAACAATTTTCAGTGCGTTAAAATGTTATTGCGATAACCGAGGACAAACTAATTGATAAAATACTTAGTCAGAGAATGCTTTTATGGTAGTACAAATATGTTAGTTGTTAACAAATGGTATATGTTGCCTGAAATCGAGCTCTTCGTGCAAGAATAATAAATCATCCGAGCTCTAACTAATTCGGTTTTCTGTCAAACGTTCCATGCTTGTTCAGTTCTGGCAATTTTTGAAAGCTTGGTCACTTGACAAAATAAGCTCATGTATCAAAATTGTTGGGGCGTCAATTTCCCTCAAAGAAACTACGGATCTTGTTAACTACCCTTGCCCCTCCCCCTCCCATTGCAAAAGGGGTAATTCGTTGCCTTAATGTTTTTTCGCAAAGAGTGCACCAAAACTTAATATAGTTCAAGTTTATCAATCAATTTTTTCAGATCAACCAGACTGATTCTCAGAATCTTCTTTTTCTAAAGCTCTTTTCCCGTATGCCATAAAGGTTGTTCTTGTTACACATCAGTTTTGAAATTGTGTTGGATGAAGCATTTTGGAAACTTTTTGTAAGCTTTTGATCAAAACATTGTTTTTAGGCGCGCTTAGTCCTCGAAAAATTTGCACATATTGGCGCCCAAGCAGCCTCTGGAAAATTCATTCAAGCAGCCTCAAGGTAGGTCAACCAAGAATGAAAGAGATGAAATAACCATTCAGACATGCTATTTTCATCTGTTGCTGTAGTAAAAATTGATACACTATTGTAAAAAGAATCTTCAGTCGAATAGAATATCGCTCAATACAAATTGAAAGGGTTTTCTTACTGATAACCGAATTGATCTACCAAAAATAGATATATGGGGAACTGTGGTTAGTAATCACTTCGCATATTTAAGACCCTGTTTGAACTTTCACTTATCAGACCAGGTGTTGGAGCAGAAAAATCGCAATTCTGAAGGGGAGGCGGTCTTTTGTCAAAACAAATGACAATCCAGCCCTCCATTTCACGTAAACAACCGACCTCGATGTTGTAGCTGTTAACCGGAACCAGCATTTCCTCAAACTCATTTTCGTCAAACAGACATTTTCAACTGGTGAAAAAATTATGTATGAACAATTTTTAATAGTTCTGAACAAAAAAAAACATCAATGATTTTTTTGAATTAACAAAAACGTTTTCACGCAGAAAAAAATTGGTTCGGCTAAATTTTGCTTCAATTTACTAATTTGGGCTTTTGATTTTGATTATGCATGATTTCTTTCACGTGTTTTGATATTGCAGATTTGGTTTCCCTTCCCGCGGCCTTGTCTAGATTAGTTGGACGGCAGAGACCTGAAATTTGATTCCTAGTTGATCCTCAAATCAAGCTGGGAGCTACAATTTTTGTTTTGGGCTCAAACACCACTCATTTATTAAACACAAGTTTTCTAAAGGTGCCATTTTAACCTTTTGGTTTGGAATTATTAGTTTACGAATTACTACTCTAATACACCTGCGTAACCCGAAAGCTGTCGATTTTCGAATTATCTCTAAGATCACAGCGGCATATCCAAAATAAAGTATTTATATAACTATTCGCCAAAAAAGAACCGTTTTGTCTTTTATTTGAAATAAATTTGCTCAAAAGACAATACTTGCGGCGATTTTAATTTTGGTCGCTGCTGCAAAGTAAATTTTTAATATTCTTTGTTGAAAAATGACCAATTCTGGCCATGGCCATAACTGTTTGGCTTTGTTTGAACGGACTTGAAAAAGCGGTTTGAATTATTCATCAGCAAAATGACTTTTTGTAACCTGAGCATTGAATTAAAAATTGGTAGTGTTGCAAATTGGTTGATATGTATCTAAAAAAAGCTGGCGAAATTACTTCCCATATTTTGTCCAATCACTTTTTTTCAGTAAAAATCCACTATTTTTCAAATGTATTTCAAATAATGCATATAAGTTAGGAGCAACTGTAAGGCGTTATAAATTTAGTCAATTAAGATTGTTTCTGTTAAACTATGGCCCAATTTTTCTATGAGTGATAATCAGCACGAGAGCCCATTTCAAATAAAGAAAAAGTCGAAATTCTTATCTGAATTCCATTACAGTGCCCCTTCAGTGAACTATCGTTACAATACACTCGTTAAAATTTAAAATAACGTCAGAAAATTGCCAAAAACATCCATCGTATGGAAAGATTTTTTGTTTTATTCAGTTTGCTTGACTAAAAAACATGTGATCGAATATATGAAAAATTGTTTTCTGAATTTTTTGTGACGATTTAAACTTGAGAGCGTTACTCAATTTGCCATTACTTTATCTTGTTTTGATTATTCTCAACATCAGAAATTTTTTACCAGAATTGGCTGAGAAGATTAATGAAGTTACTTTCCGAAATATGAAAGAAATTAATTCCACAATTGAGATATACCCGCTGTGTTTATCCTGATGATATATCACTCAAACTCACTGTCTTTTTTTTAAATTTTCCCAAAACTCCCGCATTATCAATTATTCACTATTTTACCAGTTCATTTTACACTGATAAGAATCGCAACCTATTTTTTTATCGTTTTTGTCTCTTGTGAAAATTAGGATTGTTGGGATAAAAATATTCCTTGAGAAAAGACCTGCAGCGCATTACAAATTATGCCCTCCGTCAAAAGAAGTTTACAAAGTCTTTTTAGTTTCAGGACAGTTTTTCATTCTTAGGAACACCTCAACATAGGTGCGATATAATTAACTTTCTTAGTAAATCTGCTTTTATTGACACAGAAGGTACTGATTAAAATTCAAATCCAATTTGCGGCAAAAAATGAAAACTATAGTTTGAGCCGATTATTGACCGAACCATAATTAGCTTCAAATGCTTTTAGTCCGTTGGCAATATTTACCTTTGGCCAAAGCCTATAAACTAAACTAGGAAGCTTGCAATTGAATTTATTAACATATTCCTTTAGCCTGGTGTATTTATCAGAGTTTAAACTTACTGTAAACAGACAACGCATTACACCATTGGCCGCGCCCCCAAACAAATTCGAGCCAATTTTATTGAATTAATTACCACATTTTCGTTAAATTCTTAAAATTAAATTCATCATCAGCGCAAAATTATCAGCGCAAAATGGCCAATTCTAGCACTCTGTTTGACGAAAGCGAGTTTGATCAACTTGTGAGTCCAATTTCGACCGATTTTTTGCCCCTCAAACCGGGACTGTGGGCTCTTGCTCTATGTGTTTTTGTCCCGCTTTGCATTGCGACCATAACTGGAAACATTTTGGTCCTGGTAGCATTCCGAAGAGAGAGAAAGCTGCGGACTGTGACCAACTACTTTCTGGTGTCTCTGGCAGTTTCCGATCTCATAATTGGACTGATCTCAATGCCACTTTACTCCATTTACGTACTAAAGGTTAGAGGTAGATAAATGCACGCATTTTCATATATATAACCCCCACCTAATTTAATCCCTTTCCCGTTATACCCCCACAAATTACAGATCCAATAATGGCAAACAGTGGTGGGTTAATTTTTTCATTGTGAAACAGATCTGGGGAGGCGGCGCCTCAGAACAGGGCCAGGAGCTTTACCCGAACATAAATGCTATGAAAATTCGAAAGCTTAACATTATATGAGAAAAATAAATTGAGACGCGCGCTGTATTTACAGAACAATCGCTTTAGAGCATGTATTGTACTTAGGAGGGAGAGGAAGAGTAAAACGTATTGATTGGACGACAAAATTTAATTAGCTTTAAGTGTCAATTTTTTGCCTGGCTATTTTTGAAATCGAAAACTACCAACCCATATCAAAATAGTGGGACAAATTGTTTGTCTTTTATTATGAAAGTTTCCCGGCTCTTTTCCAGTTCCCCCCTTTCAAATTCAAATTTGAAAAACCTATTTAACGTTTTCATAATGCAATGAAATTCGGCATGGTGAACAAATCGACAACTGTGAACAGATTTGGTTTCCATACTCTACAGCGTAACATCACGCGTTTAGTCGTAAAAACACGTAAAACAAACATAAAACTCGGTTTCTCGTATTGCTTTTTTTTCAGAGCTGATTTATAAGTAAAAACAGTTTTGCAGCATATGATCATCAATGCTTAAGTCAATAATCATCAATTAACCTTGAAAAAAAAGCACAAACAAAGTCTTGTAAAGTTTATTTCTGCGTTTTGTTATCGCATAAACATCCATTTTTTCTCTGGTAGACTCGAGTATGTACTTCAGATTTTAAACCCACTTTAGTGTCACAATCGCTCTAGATAAAATTTTTCATTATGTAAGGCTTTTTGTTCCGACTTTCGTAACGAAAGTAACGAAATATTTCTGCTCGGAGTGGGTTTTTTTTTCTTCAGACAAATTTCGACTTTTAAACTAGCCATTTTTGACGGGATTTTTAAAATATCATTCAAAAGGTATTGTTGTCCTGAGATTAAATTTGAAAAGATAATTCACCTTTTGATCATTTTTCGTAAAGTTATGGGGTTCAAATATTGCCATTTTAATGGGACAATTAACGGGCGATATATTTCGCGCTATTAACGCGTGAGCTGAGATATAATCCGTCTTAGAAATCGTTCCAAATTGTTTGAAGGAAGCTTATTTGCCATAATTGGTTTGTTACTAGGAGCGAAATCCATCACTTTGTGCTTTATATGGCGTGTGGGGTGATGAGTTTTACAAAAAATCTCAAACTAAAAAAAAAATTAATTTTTATTTATCACATTTAATTTTTTCATGTTATTATTGCTCCATAGACCTTAAAAGACAGTCGGAAATTTCAGGGCTTCACCCTGATAGGAGTAGTCTTTTTTGAGGTTTGCAAACGTTTCACTATCTTAAAACTCAAAAAATTCAGCGTTTTCTCGAAGATGGCTCAGCAATGATTGTGTCCTGGAATTTTTGGCATTGATTCAGCTATGTTTGTCAATTCCGCTCATGATAAAAGAGACACAGGTCAGAACCTGAAATAACAACGGTAAACTGAATTTTATCTAACTATATTTTTTAAAAACCTGGATTGTAAATTTGTTCTGAACTGATTATACTTCTACTTGCTCGGCATTCGGATACGAAAAGCGTTTCAAAAGAAAGCGACCACTCAGCAAGCAAAATTAAAAAATAAATATAGATTTGACAGTGCTATAAAAGCAAACAATGAGTGATACAAGAAAAAAAACAAAAATCAGCCTGTTCAAACAGTTCATGTGCTCAATACTTAGAAAAAAACCTTATTCTGATTGCTTATAAAAAATCACTACGTGGCCAAAATGTGCACTAGATAGGGGCACAATTTTGGGTCGGTATGTTCCTGGATTCCATAGACAAGTCTTTAAACATCTTAGAATTTTGTCGGAACGATCAAAGAGAATGAAAGAACAAAAGAAGAACAAAGGGAGCGTCCTTGTTGCGGAATCCGCTCACAATGCAAATAATGCACAGTTTGGCCTCGTAATGATGATTGCTTACAAAAAATGTTTTTCCTCTGGCTATAAAATTAGCTTGAAAATTCAAATTGCATATTGCCTACTTTTTCTAGTTTAGATTTTGTTTGGTTGCTGACATGGCTAGTGAAGGTATATTTTTTTAGAGAAAATTGAAAAATTGCCACTAGAAGATAGGAACAACTTTTACAATCTATCACATTTTCTGCCGCGCTTCTGTCAGCTTCCTTGTTTTTGTTGTACAATCAGCAATTGTAAAGTGAGTGGTTTTCCTGCGGATAATGGTTTAACTGTGAGTTTTGGATCAACTCATATCCTACTTTGGAAGCGATGACTTGCTTTTATCAACCTGGAATGTTTAATCTATGGCTATCCAAACTTTAAACGAGCTAAAACTTGCTATATTTTCAAATAGAAATTTTTTCGCAGCTTCTTTTTTTGATGTATGATGACAATTATGAATTTAATGTGGTTTCATTTTGTATAGTTCATTAGTTCATCATTATTTTATTTTTTTTCGAATAGCGTTACAAGGATTTATTGAGATTAAATGCCTCCTTTTGCATGATTTGAACTGACAAAGGTTCAATAGAGGGTAAAATTGAACAAGACTGCTCGTATCAGGCCGATGACCTCCTGCATCTTCTGCCTGCCCTTAAAAGTCTATGGGGTAGCGTTCGGTTTGAAAAAATGATCAAAATTTCCGAAAAATAAACATAATAATAAGCTGAAAAACAATAAATTACAAATATAGCTAACTATTAAAATGACCAAGTGTAAAGCCTCACTTCTACCTAAAACAGTTTCCAAAACGGATTAATTCTCTGCTTATAAATGTTATTAGCACGAAGAAAATTGCGCGGTTTTTAAAATTGAAAGTAAAATATCTTTTTAAAATTCAGCGTATGGCGTCCAATTTTTTTCGTATAAGTACCGTCAATGAGAGCTAGCTTACAAGAAGCCGAAATTGGCCTGGAGAAAACATCACACCGAGCACAATAATTACGTAATTTTCTTCGAAAGTCAGCAAGAACAACAAGAACAACAAGAAAAGCAAGAACTTTTAAAATTCTCCGGGAAAAAATTAAGTGCGAGAACAAAGCAATTTAAATCAATATAAGTGTTTGGAAAAAGTAAAACACTTCTGGGCTCATCCAGTACCCCCTTCACAAATAGCATTCAATTCTTAAATTTCTCTGCGTAAGATCAACTTGGCGTTCAATTTTGAATATTCAGCCTAATTTATCATATAATTTTAAGATCAATCTCGTTGTTGGATAAACTTTGTTATCCAGCTTTAACTGGCTGTAACTTTTTTATTTGCTGTTTTCACAAGTATATTCATAAAAATATTAACCAGTAATGAGATTCCGAGAAATAGCGTTCATTAATGAGATGTGTTTCGAGATATTTCAATTGGATTTAATCTGTGACTAATTTATTGTTCCAACTTTCGAAGAAAGCGAAGGAAGATTTGTGACTGGATTGGTTTTTTTTCTGCCGAATAGATTTTGTGTTTTTAAATAACAGTTTTAAAAAGATTTGTTTACACCACCCAAAAAAAATGATATCTTCAGCTCGAACTTATAATTTTCACCTGTGATCTTTTTTGTAAAATTATGGGAGTTATAAAAAAATTTTTGTAGTTGCAAAATATATACTTCTGAATTTTACATATAAACTTTATCTTCTTTGTTTTAAAATTTTTTATCGTTTTTTGTCAGCTAACACTAGCGCATATACTTTAAAAGGCAGCTGGAACATTGATAGGAGCAATCTGATTCTTTCTCAACTTCGCTGCAACTTCGATTTATGAAGTTCAATTTGAGTCGTCCATTTGACTAAAATTTTTGATTGCGAGAAGTATTGACCACAGCAAGATATGTTCTTCAAAAAAACTCCCTCTGATCAGCACTGATTAGAAAACAGTTTCGTCCACCGTATAACAAGGGGGTATTTAGGGTTTTCCCATGTGGAAGCGGATTTTTAAAAAGTTTGAAAGCTTTATACTACTTTTTTAGGTCGTACAAAAATAATTTTCTGATGAATTACAACTTTCTATAAAAATCCTTGTTTGCCATAATTCTTTCTCTGCGCTAATTTATGCGCTAAATCGAACCAAATTTTTTGCGGTTTTATCATATCACGATAGAAAATTGAAAGTTAATCTTGGTTAAAATGATTAACTTTCATTTGAATTTATAATGAGCTTCTGTTTTTTTTTGCTGTGATATGACACATCCACAGATGATAGTTTTTTGAAAAATAAACTGATATGCTCAATTCAAAGCTAGTTGCACAATTTCAGATACTTTATTTAGTTTTTGGTTAGATTGGAGGTTTTTTGACTCAAAGCAAAATCATCTGTTCAAAACGATAACTACTGAAAAATGTTTCTAGTTCTTTGAACGTGTAGTTCTAGTTTCTTAACGTGTATTTAGAGCTTTTCAACCAAGAGAAGTTGACCACAATTTCTATTTGACAAAAAAAAAGAATCACTTTGGCCTTGATATGGGAACAATATTTTTTCATTCGCTCTTGAAAATGTTGGTCGAAAATTTACTATTTGTTTCAATTCACGTTGTCTGATTGTAATGAAAACTGGCATGCGGCTAATTATTCAAATCCAATAATATTTGGTCTTCATACCAACTATGACACCCTGTAAAGAGGACGGTTAATTTTGTCAGAACAACTGGTCACCCATTCACTTTGTCACACCACTAGTTATATCATACATCGCATGTTGATGTTATGTTGTGCATGAAAGATTGTTAACAAAAACTTTATTTAGAAAAACTAGTTCAAATACGTTGATAGGCAGCCGGATTGCTCGGAACTTTGTCTTTATGCGAGCAAACTATATTGAATGTTATTTTGTTCTTGTGTTTTAACTTCAAAATTTCGTGCTGTATTGCCTATTAAATTTTCATTGAAATTACTCCACTGAAAGCAATA